CTTTAGATCATCAGGTCTGTGCTGAGTCTCTGCCATGGGTTAGGACCTTGGCTCTCAGCTCAGCAAACCCAGCCCTTGTGCATGAACAGAAGCAGATCCCCAATCAGCGCTGCTCCTGCAGGAGCCAAAGGCAGAAGGAAGTGGAGACAGGGTAGCAAGCAAGTGGCCCAGTGTCTGTCCCTGAGAATAGGAGCTGGGGAGGTGGGGTGGAGAGGAGCTGCAGAGGGCAGCTCACGGTACAGCAGGGAGAAGAGAAAGGCCACGGTCCCGGGACACTGCGGGCGCTCTTACTGACTGGTCCGTGGTGAGAGGGGTATAGCCAGTCATGAGGAAGTGGAGCCGAGGAGTGGGAATGAGGGAGGCGATGAGGCCGATGAGGTCATTGTTCATGTAGCCAGGGTAGCGCAGGGTGGTGGTGCTGGCTGACATGATGGTGGACACCTGGGGACAGGAGATACTACATTATGGGAGTCGACGGAGGTGGAAGGTCCCTCCTGTGATGGATGACCCTCTAGCAGAGGGCTTCCATTCCAGGAGTGGGACTCACCAGCTGGTTGATCTGGGAGAAGGATGGATTCTGGATGTGCAGGCGGTCTGTGGCTATCAGGTTCAGGGCCGTGTTGTCCAGCACCACCTAGGAGGGATAGCACAGGGTTGGAGATCTATGGAGATAAGATAGATCATCAGAGAATCTAGCCTTGAGCCTAATGGCTGGAAACACTCATTTAAAAGGGACTCTCTCAAGCTTAGGGCGCAAATGAAAATAGACAGGAGGATGGGAGTAGGAAGGAGAATGCAGAGCTCACCACACAGTCTGCATTCTGGGTCAGCCTCTTCAGGGTGAGGAGGGAGTTGTAGGGCTGGACCACCACGTCACTCATCTCATCCTGGTTGGGAAACACGGAGTATGTCTGCACCAATTTCTTGGGGTACCTGGTGTGGTTAGAACATTACAGTATTTGATGAACATCAATCTTCTTAACATGTCTAGGGGCATTTGTCTGTGATGCGGAAATTAGGATGGGGCCACAGACCATAGGAAAGGTGGGTCTTGAAAAGATAAAGCCCCAAAAGGGCAAGGGAAGAGACACTATAAAATCCTAGGTTCCAAACCTGGATATATTCCTCAGACATTCCAGGATCTGACCCCTGGGAGTATTACTGGGTTTCTCCATGGTACCTTTACTGTCCTCTCAGTAGGAGGGAATAGAAGGGCTCTTTACTGCTCCAGCAAATAGGGAGGTATGTCTGCCGGGCCTCAAGTACCTTAGGAAACAAAGATGAAGGACCTATCTTCAACTAGTTCCCCCAGACACAGGCTTACCTGTCATTCAGACGTTCCAAGAGGTAGGAGCCCAAGCCAGAGCCTGTCCCCCCAGCAATGGAGTGACACAGCACAAAGCCCTGCATAGGAAAGAGAACACCGGTATCCAGGTGTTTAGTGACAGAATTTAATTTTAATTTAAAGCTTTTTAAACTTATTTAATGTACCTGCCTACATATATGTACATGCAAACATATATGTGCTCATATATGTGAGCCTGGTGCCTGTGAAGGTAGAAGAGGGCATCAGATCTCCCAGGACTGGAATTATAGATGAGTATGAGCCACAATGTGGTGCTAGGAACCAAACCCAGGTCCTCTGTAAGAACAGCAAGTGTGCTTTTTTTTTTTTTAATGAGTTCTCTTATATGCCAGGCTGGCTTCTTTAAGTGCTCTTAATCATCTCTCTAGCCCCTTGTAGCAGGCTTTCAAACGAGATGCATCTCACAATGTCTTGGACTCTTGTCTTCCCAAGTCCCCTCACTGCCTAGGAGACTCTGCCCTGTCTTTAATAATGACCAGTGCAAAGGATACATGAGTGGGTATTATACCAAAGAGGTCACTTTTTAAAAAATTTTAATAGTTATTGTATATGTGCGCCACTGGATATGGGCAGAGAAAAGAGGATAACGTTTTAGGGTCAGGTCTCTCCTCCTATTATGGGTTTTAGGGATCAAAGTCAGGTTGTCAGGCTTGAACACAAGCATTGCTACCTGCTTAGGCATCTCAATGGCCTTTAACAGGTGATTTCTAAATGGTGTTGCCAAGCCTCCACTTGTCCAGCTACTGACATTCCCAGAACACTCACCTCTAGACTGTCACTGCCATCTGCCTCCCGATCTATGATGTCAAAAATGTCCTCGTGGATTTTTTCTCCCTGGACAGACACGGAGATGGGTGAGGTGGGACAGAGCGTGGGGCAAGAACTGACCTCAGAATAGCCATCCTTGATTCTTACACAGATCACAGCTACTGTGCTTTGCCCTGAGAGATACTACAACAGTGGTTATAAGCAAGTACTTTACACCCCAATCCAGACGATCCATTCACGTACAGCTTTTCATTACCAGCTAGTGAGTCCAGACCTTGCTTGTGCTAGCGGCAAGGGCTCTACAATTAGACAGGCTTTCATGTAGCTCAGGCTAGCATCAAATTCTCTATTTAGCTGAGGATAAGCTTTGCATCCCGATCCTCCTGCCTTCTCTAGTAAGCACCACTGCGCCCCGCTTTATGCAGCTACTTAGGACTGACGCCCCTGATTCATAAATATGGCCATCATACTATCAACTGAGCTACATGCTCCACCCATCTTTACTATTATAGTTCATTTCTACCTAGTTATGTGAATTTGGGAAGATTTATCTGTCTCAGTTTCCTCATTTGAGAATGAAGGGCCAGATATATTTAGCAATCAAAGTATTTCAGATTTTTGAAAGGCTCTTTTATATATACATATATATGTGTACACACACACACACACACACACACACACACACACTGCATATTAACCAGGTAGAGGTTCATGCCTTTAATCCCAGCACTTGGGAGGCAGAGGAGGGTGAAACTCTGAGTTCAAGCCTAGTCTACAGAGTTCCAGGATAGACAGGACAACACAAAGAAACTGTCTCAAAATTAAATAATAAATAAATAAAATGAAATTAACATTAAATAAAAAGACCATGTTAAGGTTGGCGATGTATAGTTCAGTGGTGTGAGTTTCTTTAGTATAGCCAGGCAGCGGTGGCACACGCCTTTAGTCCCAGCACTCGGGAGGCAGAGGCACGGGGATCTCTGTGAGTTCCAGGCCAGCCTGGTCTACAGAGCTAGTTCCAGGACAGCTTCCAAAGCCACAAAGAAATCCTGTCTCAAAAGACCCAAAAAAAAAAAAAAAAAAAAAAAAAAAAAGTTTGTCTAGTATATATAAGACCCTGAGTTCTGACCTGGAATCACCAAAATAAACAATACAAATATAACCATGGAGGTCTGAGGTGCATTATCAAATAGGCTAATGAAATATGCAGGGAAAGGTATGAGTAAGAACAGTAAACTGAGCTGGGCTGTGGTGGTGGTGGTACACGCCTTTAATCCCAGCACTTGAGAGGCAGAGCCAGGAGGATCTCTGTGGGTTCCTGACGATCCTGGTCTAGAGTGAGTGCCAGGACAGCCAGAGATATACAGAGAAACCCTGTCTTGAAAAACCAAGAACCTAAAAAAAGACAACAGTAAGTTGAATAGAAACATGAACACAACCTAACTCCTTTGAGCATTGGTTTTGCTAAGCAAAGTTTGAAATATCTTTTGGTTTCAGAACTTTTTGAGTATGAAAAAGTAGATAATAGTACTTACTTCTAGGGCTATTCAGAGGTTTATGAGGCTAACATATAAAGTACTTAGAATGGCTTGCAACACAGCACTGGCTACAATGGGTTCTTAGCGTTCCAGTTAGCTCCTGAAGCCGTGTCTGTCTGGCTCTGGCACTCATACATCTCTAACCCAGTTCCATCTGTAGAAAATCACAGGGCCCACCCAATGAGTTGAGAGCCCAGCAGGGGAACAGCAAATGACCTGGGAGAATCCACTGGCCCAGTTGTTGCCAGCTCCTCCTCCATGCTCAGACAGGTAGATGTTCTCTGGGTTGTAGAGCTTGGCATACGAGGAGTTGAGGATAGAATGGATCACCCGGGGCTCCAGGTCCAGCAGCACAGCCCGGGGGATGTAATGCTCATCATCTGCCTGACAAAGGGAAGCCAGGATGGGCCCAGTGAGCCTGGATGGCTCCTGCAGGGCCCCCCCTCCTTAAGACAGCCACTCTGTTCCCATCTGCCCAGTGAGTCTCCCAGCACCGGATCGCTGCCCGTCCCTTCAGGTCCTAGGGTTCTGATCAAGTGACTGGTGGGCACCTGGTAGAAAAAGACGTCCTTGCGGTCAGTGCCCTCGGTGGCGAACTCCTCTACGATGCCCTCGGGGCTGATGCCATGCTCAGCACACAGCTGCTTCCAGAACTCGAACCCAACTAAGAGGCGGAGGGCAGGGGAGAAAAATGATATGTGGGTCTGGGTAGGTTCCAACTAGCCAGTGGGGTCCTGAACACATGGGTCGAGGGATCAGAAATTTAATCTTAGGCCTCCCTAAATGTCTAGGCTAGCGACTGGACAGGGGGAGGCCCTTTGGCTTTGGGCCGCTGGGCACAGGGTCGGGGATCGCCTTTCGTGGGGAGGGGGGAGTACGATTCTAGGGAGGACAGACGGAATCTCGGACTCATTGGACCGAAGGAACCTGCGGAGGGTCTGGAGGTTCGCTCACTCTGATTGCCGCACTGGCCCAACTGTAGGGTGATGATTTCCCTCGGCATCGCTCCTCAGACATCGGCGTTGCAGTCTCTCCCGCCAGCAGCGCCGCCGACCGCTAGCGCGCTCGCCGCAAGACGCAGGCGCCAAACAACCCGCTCCACCCCTGAACTTTCTAAGCTCCAATGAGAACTAAGCTCTGGATATGGAATTTCCTCATTCACTGGGCTTCAGTCGTGTGGACTGCGCATGCGCGCATCCTGATCGCGCTCGGCGCCGGGGACGCATTTCGACGCTGCGTTCGCGTCCCCCGCCCCCCCTCTCGCGAATGCGCGCTGGAGTTTGTACGCATGCGCGCGCTTGGGTCGATTCGGCCTTCTCCCGCCCCTCCGCAACCCAGTCGCGCTTCTGCGCAGTCGGTGTTATTGTGACTGCCGGGCCGTGGCCCCGGATGTTGTGGCTGCTGGAGGGGACATGGAGGAGGCCGAAGGGGTGGCTGCGGCCCCCAGCCCAGCTTCGGGGTTGTCTTTCAGGGGCCGCCGATCTATGTCGGGCTCCTGGGAGCGCGACCAGCAGGTTGAGGCGGCGCAGCGGGCCCTGGTGGAGGTGCTGGGGCCCTACGAGCCTCTGCTGAGCCGGGTGCAGGCAGCCCTGGTGTGGGAGCGGCCCGCCCGGAGCGCCCTGTGGTGCCTGGGGCTGAACGCGGCGTTCTGGTGAGCGACCCGGACCCTCGCTAACCCTACAAGGCGGGAATTCGTCAGGTTGCTCTAGGGGTCTACCTCTCGCCTGCCCTGCCCTGCGTTCTTTCGCCGCCCCGGCTGCCTCGCGTACTCATTTAATGATGCCTCACTTTTCCCTGCATCCTGTCCGCTCCCAGGCTTTGGCTCCCCGGGTCCTCACAGGGGATTTCGCATCTTACCTGCTTTTCCAGGGCCGGCACCCTCGCCCCGCACACTCTCCAGGAGCTTCTGGTAACACCTTGAGTCGCTCGCAGTGAGCCACAGGTGCCTCTTGTCAGCTAGGGAAAGCTATTTCACTTTGAGATCGTCTCCTGCCTTTCTCTTGCCTGTCTCAGCATGGTTTTTAGAGATTTTAATTTATGGTGGGAGAAGAGGCCGAGAGAAGTTCTTGGGAAAAAAAAAAAAAAAAAGCTATCCATGGGTGTGAGGAGAAAAACGAGCTTGAACCGGTTATCATGAATGAGCATGTTAGATACTGTCTCACCCAGGCCAGTTGGTGAAGTCGGTATGGAGCTTCAGCCTGAAGAGAATTTGAAACCACCTAGGCGGACTTCGGATTTCATAGAGTCTACCAAGCATAGTTTGGGTTTATTAATAACTAGAGTGCTGATCAAATTCCAAGGGAACTGATTCAGTACTGAGGCCTCTAGAGCTAAATGAGATGATACACTCCTGGATAACAAGTGTATGTGTGTGTGTTAGGGTGCTGGAGTGTGAACACAGCACCTCTTGCATGCCAGGCAAGTGCTCTAGCAGTAAGACTACACTTGAGGCCCATATCTCTTTTTGGTACTGCTCTTTCTTGACTTCAGATATCAGCTTTCTTCCCATTGTTAGTGTTTATTTAGGCAGGAACCCCCCCTCCCCGGAAAAAGAAATTGGTGTTCATTAAACCAGTTTGTAGAATGTGGGGTTGAGGTATATACATCAGGGGCAGGACAAAAATTCCTTTTTTTTTTTAAATGAGTCAGCGTCTCCATATATAGCCTTAGCTAGCCTGGAACTCTATGTAGACCATGCTGACTTCAAACTAAATAGATCTGCCTGCCTCTGCCTCTCAAGTGCTGTGATTAAAGGTGTTCGTCACTATATGCCTGACAAGTGAAACATGTTTTTAAAGACTTATTTCTATTATTTTAATTGCCTGTGTGTGTGTGTGTGTGTGTGTGTGTGTGTGTGGTGAGGGAGTATGTACTAGTGAGTACAGATGCCCATGAAGGCTAGAGGCATTGGATATTGGATCCCTCTTGCGCTGGAGGTACGGGTGATTGTGGGCCACCCACTGTGGGTGCTGGGAACTGAACTTCTGGAAGAGCAGTGTGTGCTCTTAGCCACCGAGCCATCTCTCCAGCTCTGCAACACATTTTTAAACTGCAACAGTATTTGGTGGCCTCCAACAGTATATTCTTTTTTTGGTCTCATATACCCCAGGCTTGCCTTGAACTCTGATCTTGCTTCCACCTCCTGAAGGTTAGGACTGTAGACATTGGGCACAGTGCTGTGCCTGCCCCCCCCCCCCAGTGTTTACTTTAGCTGTGTTTAGAATCTTAGAAGTCCTCTTGTGCTTTGTATCTCTTAAGACATTATGGCTAGTCTTTTATCTCTGGCATTTCCTGGTATTTTGCCTGCTGTGTAGCCACAATATAGTTACTCTCACAATACAGTTACATTCCCATCTCACAGTAAGAAGCTGGGGGAGGTAATACACCAAAATGAGGGTGGTTTAAGACCTAAAGAATATAGGTGGATCTCTGTGAGTTTGAGGCCAGCCTGGTCTACAAAGTAAGTTCCAGGACAGCTGGGACTGTTACACAAAGAAACCCTGTCTCTCAAAACAAAACATATCTAATGAATAATTGAGTGTGTCATTTATAGAGGGAGTCATACCTTGGGAAGGGTACAAATAATATTAAGGTCCTAGAGATGAGAGTAGTTGGACATTGGCATTCATATAATTGTTTGGAAGAAATGCACTTGCTTTAAAATTTGAGGTTTAAGCAGATTACACTCATGTCTTTGTGAGTGTTGACGTTTCACTTAGGGAAGTAAAGAATGATCATTCAGTTTTTAGACATTTAGAAGTAGGGTCATTAGTTGAGGTCAGAAAGACCAAATTGAACAGCTTTTCTTTCACTATTTGTCAGGAATTATGATGCATCCAAAAGCTGAGGTGTTTTATGCATTTTGAAGTGTCAGAAGACTAGGTAATAGTACAAAAAAGTTACCAGAGGACCAAAGAGGTGGCTCATGGGGACTAGAACCTACCTCCAAAGCCTGATGACCTGACCCAACTCTTGCAAGTTGTCCTCTGACTTACAGACATATATATATATATATATATATATATATATATATATATATATATACACACACACACACACACACACACACACACAGAGTGAAAGAAAAAATTTCAAGTCATCCAAATTCAGAGAACAAAAGTTCCTTCAATGTCTGTATTCTCAGTTGTGTTTTTTTGTACCTGTGCATATGTCCTCTTAACTCCTAAACACAATAGGTTCATAAAGGAAACTCATTTAGACAGTGTGTCACCAGGTCACCCCTCGCCCAGGTTCCAGAGAAATTATGGTGGCCCAGTCAAAAATCTTGCAACCCATATCATTCCTGGTCCTTGGCCTGTTACTGTCTTTGGGATGATAATGGCCTTCCCTCTAAAAGCTTTATTTTCATTAGTCTTGGCACCATCTGCAGGAGAGTGATTTTCAGGGCGACCAGGAAAGTCAGTAATCGTGTATGGTGACAGGATCAGAAAAGGGCTGGTTCCTATAACTTTGAACTGGCTCATTCACGGGAGATAAGGGAATGTGAGGATAAAGGAGTCCTGGAAATGTGTGTGTGCTCCAGGCTCCTTCCTCCCCCCTCAGGAACAGCCACCTGCTTTGTTCCTGTGATTGTAGGTGGTTGTTGGGGACATGCTCATAACCCACAGTTGATTCCCTATTGTGCGCTCTCTCTCTCTCTCTCTCTCTCTCTCTCTCTCTCTCTCTCTCTCTCTCGTTGCTTTTACAGTCACCATTCTTACCAGTGTTAACCATTCTTTACTGAGGTCATGGGCTATGTTGTTTGTATGATTTTTAAAAAATGTTTTCCTTCCCTAAAGTGATCTGAGAAGTGACTTAAGGGTGCACAACAGTTTTGATTTACAAAGTTAGAATCCAACTAAAGACAATAGGAATAGGAAATAGAAGGGAGAACACCCCTCCCCCCCTTTTAAATGAGTTCTGGAAAGGTTTTGTTTAGAAAAACAAACATTGATTTTAAGATTTTAGTATTTAAATGGCAAGGAAAGCCCATTTCAAAGAATGAATGTCTCACAGAGTAGATCTCTGTGAGATCAAGGCTGGCTTGTTCTATATAGTGAGTTCCTGGCTGGAACTACCCAGATTGGGGAAAAAAATTCTTTCTTAGATGAAACCAATTGACAATGTTTCTGGTGATCAGTTCTTTTTCTTTCTTTTTCCTTATGTTTTCGCTTAAAGACACGGTCTATGCAGCTAAAACTGCCCTTGGGAGTCTGTTGCCTTGGTAGGACTCCTCTGTCTCATTGATAGCCTAGAAGGCTCCCAATAAAGTCTTCAGCTTGCCATCAAGATGGGTTAGTTATGTGTTTTAGTGCTAGGGTTAAACCTAGGGCCTCATGAATGTTAGGCAGATTCTACTTCTGGGCTGTGCTGCCAGCTTTACCTTCAGTTTTTGTCTGCAAGGTTGGTACTTTCTCTGTTTTACAGTGTTAGGTGGGTAATTAGCAGTGAGCTGGTTTCACTTCTGTTTTCTTGTGCAAGCAACAGCTATCATTACGTGATACAGGTTGGGTTAATTTTTCCCTTTCAATTTCCAGTGACTGGCTCATTAACTAGGCAGTCACAAGTGCTGCACAATAATGGGCTCACTGTCCCTGTAGAGTGGGATGCTTTGTTCTGAAGTGCCACAGAGACAGGCACACTCGGTAACAACAAAGGAACCTACAAATAGCATCTTTGATTGAAAATAGATGTCATCATTATTTTTGATTGTATGTGTTACTGTGGAATGAACCTGGAGCCTCCCCATATCCTAGGCAAACTATTATTTTTGTTGTTGTTGTTTTGTTTTTCATGACAAGGTTTCTTTGTATTGCTTTGGAGCCTGTCCTGGAACTCATTCTGTAGACAGGCTGGCCTTGAACTGACAGAGCTGCCTGCCTCTGCCTCCCAAGTGCTGGGACTAAAGGCTGCAAACTGTTATTTTTAACAGACTCTAATTTATGTTATTACTGTAGATCTGTTCTATAATTAACTCTTGGAAAACTTTGTTTTGGGACTTTTTAACAGTTTTTTTTAATTATTTATTTTTGTTTTATGTGCATCTGTGTTTTGTCATGGGTCCCCTGAAACTGTGAGCTGCCATGTGGGTGCTGACAATGGTCCTTTGGAAGAGCAGTCAGTGCTCTTAACCACTGAACCATCTCTCCAGCCCCCTAGAAAACCCATTTATTTCTAGAATTTTGGATACCAGATTGTTGCTAATTGTTGTTCCAAGGAATACATTCTATTTGGACTAGCAGTTTAATCAGATTTTAGCCCCAAATAATAAAGGAACAGTTTACAAAAGGAAAATAATCTACGTGTGGTGGTGCAGGCCCATAATTCAAGTATCTGGGGCTGGTGTGTGTATTGAGGCAAAAGAATCAGGAGTTAAAGGTCATCCTCAGCTATTTAGTGAGTTCTAGGTCAGACTGAGCTATACATGAGACTGTCTCAACACCTTCCTCCAAAAGACAAACAGTGGATATATAAAACTTAACCCTCAGCCTGGTGGTGATGGTACATACCTTTAATCCCAAGACTCTGGAGCTCTGTGAGTTCAAGGCCAGCTTGGTCTACAGAGCAAGTTCCAGGACAGCGAAGGCTACACAGAGAAACCCTGTTTTTAAAAGACAAACAACAATAACAACAAAAGAACCTTTACTCTCA